GGCAAAGATTCCTATTTCAGTAGATCTAAGTAGCCAGCCAAAAGTCAAGATGAACCAATTGGATCCCAACTGAATGCCAAATTATGCAATTTATGTCAAGGAAGGATCACTTTGCAGAATCTAAATTTTTACATTGAGTAGTCGAGCTGCATAAAAATGAATTGTGGACTACAAAGTCTATATTATTGTGGTTCTGAATCACTGTTATAGTACTCAGCTCCAGATTTTCCTCTAGGATAGGAATTTAACAATCAATAATAATATATCACAAAGAATTATCACGGTTCTTAAATATTGTACTTTAACAGAATAACAGATTATCAAACTGGGATTTCCTGCTTTTCTGCCTCAGTTAAGGATATGGAGCAGTTGCAGATGGAGAAAAAGCCATAATACTTAATTTTAAATACTGAAATTAAGAGAAGCATATCATGGGCATCTCTTTTTAGCTTGTCATACCCTCCTCCTCTAAGACACTTTCATTTAGCTTTTTAAATATACATTTATTGTATATTTCTTGTACATAGGTAAGTTTAAAGCTAGTAGGACATCACAAACAAATGAAATTACAGGAACAGTAATAGAAAGACTATCCAAACAAGCTTTAGTTGTCAAGAGATTTACTATTACAGTCATGGCAAGTGGGACAGAGCTAGATATGATATTCCACAGTTATCGCCAGTAGTGGGATTCAGCCGGTTCAGAACAGGTAGTTAAATTCAGCCGGGCGAACTGGTAATTAAATTGCTGGTTGGCCACGCTCCTTCCTGCTCCACCCCTTCCAGGAGTCCCCACACGCCCCATTTTGGTTCCCAGGTAAATACAAGGAGGCCTCCTAGGCCCAAAATGGGGCATGGGGGGCAGCGCCCCCCCCCATGGCCCATTTTTGCTCCCAGGAGGCTTCAGGGAGGCTTCCTAGGCCCATTTTCGCTCTGTGGGAGGCTTCAGAGAGGCCTCCTAGACCCAAAACGGGGCGCAGAGGGGGTGGCGCAGCCTCTCTGTGGCCAGTTTTATCTCCCAGGGGGTGCAGGGAGGCCTACTAGGCCCAAAACGGGGTACGGAGGGTGGCGCATCCCCCGCTCCCGTGGCCCATTTTTGCTGCCAGGGGCGTGCAGGAGGCCAAGTGCTTCCTGTCACACCCCCTGGCCATGCTTACCCAGACAGTCATTAGGGCAGAGAACAGGTTCTTAAATTATTTGAATCCCACCACTGGTTATGGCACTTAACAAAAGCCTTGAAGGGTAGAAACAGGAGGGATTTTTAAAAATATAAGCTTGTGGCCAGAGAAAGGCGGCTCTTGGTTGATGCCCAGCTTAAATTCTTAAGAGGAAAGGAAGAGAACCAATAATGCTGAGGATGTAATGAAACAACATTGGAAAAGAGGGGAGGAAAAGGTAGAAGAATAAAATTGAAGGACATATAGAAATTAGCTTGTGATTTCTAAAACGTTTTATGGCTATGGGTAAAACAAGAAGAAATAAGCTTCAGTAATATAAAATGTCAGTTAAAAAACATAAAAAGTATCAGTAACTTAAATATACCAGAGAAAGGCTTAGAATAACTTTATTGTCACTTTAAATGTACACTAATCGGCATACATTAAAATGAAATTTTGTTACATACAGCTCTGAAAGGATCACCATCTCCAATATACACTACATAAACATGACAAATAAACAAACAAACAAATTAATTAATTAATTAATTTTAAAAATGCATATACCCACATATATGACACAGAGAAACAACACAGTCTAATTTGGATGTATACATGTGCATGGCGAGAAAAATGAATCTTGCGAGTTTACCAGACGGATGGCCTAAGGAACAAAGCTGCTTCAGAATCTGGTAGTCCTGCTAGAAAATATAGAGGGATAAAATCTCCCCTCCAAATATTAAACTAGATTCCTTAAACTAGATCACTCCAGGTTTCTTCAATGCTGATTATCTGCTAAAGACCCACACTAAGATCCATGGGACTTTTCACTGTATTATTTTTTAAAAAAAGTTTTTTATTAATCATTCGAAATTAAAAACATTGGACATAGATATGACATCACTAGTTCTAAATATTTTCCAACACTTTAAACTAATACAAATTATGTTAAAGTTAATATTATAATATAATTCTTTACCCTTATACGTTAGTTATACATAACATCATACTAACAATGACTTTTCATTGTTTTAGTCTGATTCCAACCAGCAGATATTTCAAATTCGTATGGAAAAATGTCATTCGTTATTCTGAGAATCCTGCATCTTTGTTATACTGATGTTTCTCCTGCTTGACTACAAACTTTGTACACTTGGAACCAGAGGTGGCATTCACTTACCTTCGCTACCGGTTCTCATATGTGAGTGTGCACGTGCCACCTCCGTGCAGGCGCAGAGAGTCAAAAAGGGACATGGTGACATCTGGGCAGGTGGGCGGAGCCTCCAGCCACCGCTACCGGTTTGGGCGAACCGGCTGAATACCACCAGTGCTTGGAACCCTTTGAACTGATTCTGTTCCTCCTTTCTAACTCAGCTTAGTAGAAGAGTTAACTATAGTTCAACTGGAAAATGTTTTCCTTTGGTTGATTGTACTTGGGCAATATAAAACTTTTATAGAAAGCCCTCCGGTGGAAGTGAAAAGATTCCTGTAAATAGAAATGCGTTGGGTTCTTAAAACTGAGTTAGCGGTAAGGCAGCTTCTGAAAAGAAAATCGATCCTAGTTGAAAGAGGAAAACGCTTAAAAAAAACCCGATTTGATCCGAGAGCTTTTCGCTTCTACATTTCTTTATTCATTGAACCAATACTATGTCCGTAAAAATGCTTTCGCTCCCACCCTCGGTGTCATCCCTATCCGATTGTAAATACACTTTCTGGAGAGCGTATACAGAAGAAATGTAGGACAGAAATGAAGCAGGCTGTGAATCTAATTAGTAGCATAATGTAATACATTTTACAAAGCATTGCTAGAAGCAGAACTAAAAAAAAAAAAGCATATATTGGAATGCAAAATGAGGGAGCCACTTGGCAATCCTGTGTTTTTCGTAGGCCAAACTCTGCAATTGGCAAAATCATATTGACTAATTTTTACTCAGGCTGAACTGTCACAGCTTGAAGGTCTCAAAACAAAAAATTGGATAAAGAAAAGGGAGAAAGTTTCCTTTAATGTTTGTCTAGTTTCTTTAGTCTTTTCTCCATCAAATTATTCTTTTCAATGGATGGCGTGGAAGCATGGGATTTCCAAACTGCATTCTTTAGGCTATGTGATGCAAAAGAAGCTCTCTGCTCCCAATTATTTGCCTTTTCAAAGAAGCTATGGGACAGAAAAACTTCCAGAAACGTCAACCTCAGCATCTTGAAGATGTGTGAACTTCAACTTCCAGAATTCCTTATGCTGGCTGCAGAATTTTAGGAACTGAAGTCCACACATCTTAAATTGGCTGACATTGAGAAACACTGGTTTAGACCAGGGGTGAAATCCAGCAGGTTCTGACAGGTTCTGGAGAACCAGTAGTGGAAATTTTGAGTAGTTTGGAGAACCGGTAGCGGAAATTTTGAGTAGTTTGGAGAACTGGCAAATATCACCTCTGGCTGGCCCCAGAGTGGGGTGGGAATGGGGATTTTGCAGTATCCTTCCCCTGGAATGGGGAAGGAATGGAGATTTTGCAGTATCCTTCTCCTGCCATGCCCACCAAGCCACACCATGCCCACCAAGCTACGCCCACAGAACTGGTAGGAAAAAAATTGGATTTCACCACTGGTTCAGACCATCCCATTTCAAAGGTTTCCAGGTGTCACAGAGTCCAAATTTATCCTGTTCCAGCCACGACAGTGAGTTAGTCTATCCATTCAAGATTTTGCAAACGTGGGTGTTTGATTCCCTAACTGATGGGTATCAATAGCAATAGCACTTAGACTTAGATACCGCTTCACAGTGCTTCTGTAAGTGATTTTATAGAGTCAGCCTATTGCCCCCAACAATCTGGGTCCTCATTTTACCCACCTGGGAAGATGAAAGGCTGAGTCATCCTTGAGCCGGTGAGAATCGAACTGCCAAATTGCAGGCAGCCAGCAGGCAGCTGAAGTATTATTGAGTCTATCATCTGCAACTTTATAACTGTCTGGTTTGGCTCTGCAACCCAACAAGACAGACACAGACTTCAGAGGAGAATTAGAACTGCAGAAAAAACAATTACTACCAACCTGCCTTCCATTGAGGACCTGTATACTGCACGAGTCAAAAAGAGGGCTGTGAAAATATTTACAGACCCCTCATATTCTGACATAAATTGTTTCAACTCCTACCCTCAAAACGATGCTATAGAGCACTGCACACCAGAACAACTAGACACAAGAACAGTTTTTTCCAGAACACCATCACTCTGTTAAACAAATAATTCCCTCAACATTTTCAAACTATTCACTAAATCTGCATTACTATTAATCTCCTCATCATTCCTATCACCCATCTCCTCCCACTTACGACTGTATGAATGTAACTTTGTTGCTGGTATCTTTAAGATTTATATTGATTGTTTCCCTATGACTATCATTAAGTGTTGTACCTTATGATTCTTGATGAACGTATCTTTTCTTTTATGTACACTGAGAGTGTATGCACTAAGACAAATTTTTGTGTGTCCAATCACACTTGGCCAATAAAGAATTCTATTCTATTCTATTCTAAAGTAGCCTGCAATACTGCATTCTAACCACTGTGCCACCACGACACATCACACAGTACATCAAGATGTACCATCTGTCATAGGCAGATGTCCCATCCTCTTGTTGAAGCTAGGCAAGGTGTGTGCAATGTTGCAAGAAGCCACATAGGAGTCTTGAGCACACTGGTTTCACTTTTGGGAAGAAAAGAAGCAGAAGCAGAGATAGAAACACGGATCATAATAACTGTATTTTTCATAGCTTTAAGTGCCTAATTAGAGGAGCAGGAAGCAATGCGTTAACAGTCCCTTCCTAACTCCAGCTTTCTCTTCTCTTTCTACAGCAATTACAGTGCACTGTTAGGAGTTTGGGTCTATGGGTTTTTCGTTGTAGTCTTGCTGGTTCTGGACCTTTTATATTACTCCTCCATGAACTACGACATTTGCAAAGTTTACATGGCAAGATGGGGAATCCAGGGGAAATGGATGAAACCGGAAACAAGCCGGTGGATTAAACCAACTCAGGACTCAAGGCAAGTAGAGACTCAGACGCATCCTCAGCCTGCCTCTCAACCATCCCAGGCTGTCCACACCTTAAAAGGAGAAGCTTTAACTCCACCACTGATGTCTTTCCCAAGCTCAACTGCCTGGTAAGTTTTTCAAGGCGTCGTCTCTTTTTTTCATAACCCTAATCTTTTATCTGATAGATAGCTCTTATCAGATGCCTTGTCAGAGCAATGGGGTTTTATTTCAATGATTCTGGTGTCTCTCTGGAAGTGAAGCCTCCAGAGATGACTATGCCCGGTTGATGCCTATTTCCTTAGTGTCGGAAAATAAGCTCCGTATTTGGATGGATGGAGCAACCACAGGGCATATCAAGATGGCAAGGCAGACTGGGAAATCAAATAACATTCTAGAGGAAAGCAGTAGATAATAGTTCTCTGCATCTGCCAAGAAAACCAGCAAAGCAGGTTTTAACAAAGAGCTGGTAGATTGACTAGAAACAGGGGTGGGATTCAGCCGGTTCGGACTGGTTCAGGCGAACCGGTAGCTCTGACGATTAGCTGGGAGCAAACCGGTTCACTCTGATGATTAGGTGGGCCCGCCCGCCCGCCCCTGCGCTCTATTTACCTTTATCCTCTCAGCTGATTTGCACGGAAGAGTGTATTGCCGTGCCTCATCTGTGTTACTTCCCAGAAGTAACATGGAAGGCTAGTTTTGTTAAAACTTGTGCATGTGGGCACAGCGAAACACACGATCACTGAAATGGTTGTTATTTATTTTATTTATTATTTATTAATTTTATTTCTATACCGCCCTTCTCCCGAAGGACTCAGGGCAGTGTACAGCCTAATTAAAAACACAAAGACAGACAAAATTTAAAAATAATTAAAATTATTAAATAATAGGCCCAATTTAAAAACCCCAAATTTAAAATCCCATTTTAAAAAAAACTGGCAGGATCCCACCACTGGTAGAATAAGTGTAGAAATTTCAAGCCAGCTGGCTTCAAGCATCATGAGAGAATAAATAAGGTTGCCTGTCTGCTCTCCAGGGCTCCCACAAGCTCCATCATTGTTCCAAGGACAAAAGACCAGAGACAGTTTTAGGGTACCCCCTCTCCCCAAACTCTCAGCAAACAAGGGCCTGGTGGCTCAGCAGACTGATAGCATTGTGATTAACACCAGCTGTCTGCAATTACTGTAAGTTCGAATCTCACCAGGCTCAAAGTTGACTCAGCCTTCCATCCTTTCTAAGGTAGGTAAATTGAGGACCCAGTTTGTGGGGGCAATAAGCTGACTTTGTATAAATATACAAAAGTATGAAGGCTATTGCTTAACGCATTGTAAGCCGCCCTGAGTCTCCGGAGAAGGGCGGCATATAAATCAAATTAAAACAAACCAAAAAAAAAAAAAACAAGCACTTTTCCCAAAGGGAAAAGTGTGCAGAGATCCAAGGTCAGGAGACAAGACCACTGAGGGAGTCCATATTTTACTCCAGCATGGCTCTGCCCATAAGGGGTTAATATCCTGCTACCTCTGGGGCAGTGGTGAAATCCAAATTTTTTTACTACCGGTTCTGTGGGCATGGTTTAGTGGGCATGGTGTGGCTTGGTGGGCATGGCTTGGTGGGCATAGCAAGGGAAGGATACTGCAAAATCTCCATTCCCACCCCACTCCAGGGGAAGGATACTGCAAAATTCCCATTCCCACCCCGCTCTGGGGCCAGCCAGAGGTGGTATTTGCCAGTTCTCCGAACTACTCAAAATTTCCGCTACCGGTTCTCTGAAGTGCTCAAAATGTCTGCTACAGGTTCTCCAGAACCTGCTGGATTTCACCCCTGCTCTGGGGTCTCCATCCAACATGAGCTGTTCCTTTTTAAGGATGGTTTGGCCAGAAGATAAATCCAGGTTCAAGGGGTTTGCCCTGCAACTCACAGTCCTCAGGCAGAAGCATCTCCAGGTAGCCACTTGAGGGTAGTACCAGCAGCCCTTATTTAAGTTCTTCTTCAGGCTCTGGACATGCATCAGTTGGACACCAGGCCACCCCATTCACACCCAAAATCCCATGGGGCACATCCAGTGATTTTGGGAGGAAAATTCTCTGCACTTGGAAATTCATCAAGTAATCAGCATTAATGAAGCTGTGAACATCGAGGCCTTCTACCCTAGGTGGTCTTTGGGATTAAAATGGGTGTGAAAAAAAAATCAAGCTAGTAGGCATATAACTGTGTAATGGGAACTGAGAGCCATAGATTTAACTCAGGAGCTTAAACTGGATGAGCCATAAACTCAGTGGTGGGATTCAGCCGGTTCTGTCCGGTTCAGGCAAACTGGTAGCGCCAACTGTGGTAGACTCCATCCACCCGCCCGGACATAATGCTGTCCTATTTAGCCACGCTTTGGAGGCTGTGAGCATGTGTGTGCCAGCACCCACGGCAGGTGCTTGCGCGAGCAAAGAGCATGCGTGGAAAGTGGTGTGTATGTGCGAAACGGGCACACATGTGCACTCACATTTGCAAACCAGTAGGGAAGATAAGTGAATCCCACCTCTGCATAAACTGGCCATGGAAATCTAAGATTAAACCTCTGTTCCTTCAGTGTAAGAGGGGACAGAAGTTCCTTAGAACATTTGTGGTCTTCATCTTGACAATGATGAGGATACATTTTAAAAGGATATAGGAAACAGTAGAAATGCAAGAAAATGTGGATCCTTGCTTTGTATCCCTTTTTTAAAAGTGGCAACCCTTGATCATTGCATGGAGAAAAGGTCAATCCATGGGGCTGGGGTTTGGGGTGCCTCCAGGGCTGTCCGGGTTCGGAAAGGTAAGATGGCAGCCACAATGCCTATCAAAACTGGGTGGAGCTTCCCTCACACCATCATAGCCACCACGTCGATTTTCTGGAGACCCCTGGAGGCCTCCATTTTCCTGCTGCAACAAAAAAGGGAGATGGAAGACATTTGGACTTGAGGGGAGTTGGAGAAGGAGAGAAGAAAAAAGGAACCAAAATTGGGCTTTCTTCAATATTGGAAAAGCAGATTCTCAGATATAAAAGAAAAAAAAAAATCCCCCCAAAAAATCATTGTTTTAAAAACATGAAATATTTTGTGGCATATTCTCCTAGCTACAATGAGGGTTTTTTTGCCTCTTTCATCCTTGCCCAAAGAGAACAATGAAACAAATGGAGCAGTTTTGCTTGAAGAGACAAGTCGGTTTAGTTTTGAGTTCTAATCAAGATGACTATGGGCAGCAGCTGTAAAAGTCTTTTGGCAGCCTTACAGATGTCATTTTGCCACTGCTTGCTTTGGTTTTTAACCTAACAATTTGAGATTTTCTTGTGGTCGCCCATCCCTCAAGGATTAGCTTTTGGCAGAGAGCCAAGTCAGCTAGATGCTGATAACTAGCTTGGACTTCAGAAACTAATAAGATTACAAAAGAATGGGAACGTTGTCTGATGTTCTGTTTTCAAGGCAAGAATTCATATTTTTGGCATTGAGTGGAAAGTCACAAGTATGCAAATATTTTCTTTGCCCCAATTAGAAAAAGCAGAAAGGGTAGTTGTACTGGGCACTAGCAATCTAGATAATAGTTTGTAGCTCTACATTAAGCCTTTGATTGGGGTGCATGATTCATTAAGCCTATTGGAATGACAACCGCACAGAAAAATGTGGAATTCTAGTTACTTTATCTATTGCATATGTATCCATCCCAAAGAAACAGCAAATGTATGCTAAGTGATTCAATCTCCCTTGCAAATGTGTGTATTTGATTTTGTAGGAAAAATGTGTTCAGGGCAGTATGAAAAATGCAGTATGAATGTGCAAGAAGTTGAAAATATCCACACACACTCAAGGGCAGTTTGAATCTAACCCTTACAGAATCTGTTTGAATAAGCAGTAAGGCAGTTAAGTATCTACCCAAATAATTTTGCAAAACTGTTACACGGAGCATCCTAAGAGCCAGATACAAATGGAAAGAGCCGTAATTATTAGAGGAAGCTCCAAACCTTTTGTTCTGACCTAGGCTTCCCCAAAAAGCACGAAGCAGAATCCTGGTCCCGACAAAACCCCTTTTATTAAAGGAATGTGAATTCCTTTTATTCACATTCAGCAAAGGCCTGGCAACCAGTCTTTCAAAGGTAGATTTATGACCACAGACCTTATCTAGCTTGGAAAGATGCCATGTAAATATTTCCCAAACACAGTGCTGTGCAAGGAAAGACTTGGCACAGAGTCTCTGAGGTTCACGGACAGATCTTCACACTCCTGCACCGACCGACCGAACACTCCTCTTTTATTTCCTATGGGAGGGGCCATTCATCGTCCACCTTTGGCCTTACTTCCAAGTTGACCCTTGTTCTTTCGCTGTTCCCTTCGTCTGGCAACTCTGCGCAGGCGCACACTGGGAACAGGCTGCAGCTGTTCGTCTGCCTCACTGATGTCTGACTCTGAAGACAACTGATAGCTGGCATACAGCCCTGGCCCCCTCTCTGCCTCTGATACAGAGCCCTCATCAGCCTTCCCCAGACTCCAGGACTGGCCCATGTTCCTCCCCAACCTCCTCACTGTCCGAATCTGCTGCCAGTTCCGCTGGCAGGCCACAATATCTTTTTCTTTTTTTTGAAGCTGTATCATGAATTCTGCAGGGCCATTACTAATCGGAAGCATAATAGCAAAGATGACATGATTGGTTTCCTAAACATTATAATGCTGAAGTGTTTATTCCAGAAAAAAGCTGAGCTTGGCCTCTATAAAAGGTATTGAAGAAAACATTTTACCAATATGCTCTATCCAGTGTTCATAAATAATTAATCCACGTGCCGGTGAACGACCTCTATAATTGAAGAAAGCTTTTTGACATGGGTAGCCAACCATCCATTCCCCAGGTTAAAAAGGACCCATAAATTCTAAGTGCCCGTTCCGGTAATACAGAAAAAAAAAGGAGCACCTCCACGCAGACTACACAGTCCTTGTGATGGGAGAAGTGATAAAAACAAAAAAAGTGTGATGGCTTTTAGCTAAACAAACTCTGCTCCTTTTCATCCTCTGCAAACTCAATGCCCTAGATTCTTGCAGGAGAAAACCGGCAAATATTTTATGCGTAGTGTCAAGTTATAAATGGCACTTGTTTTGAAGTTTCCCAAGCTTCC